ATTAATATATAAATAAAAATATATGCACAAACTTATGCACATTGCGCAGTAAAAACATTTTAAATTAAACTATTTTTTATATTAAATTATTTTTGTAAATAATTATACTATTTGACATACTTATCTTATAATTACTGAAGAGAGTCCAGACAAGCACCGAAACGTTTAGTACTATTTTAGTCTTAGAATTCTCGAAAATTTGTATTTTTTCAAATATATACACATACTTCCGCACTTGCTCCTTAAGCATTTGTATGTTTTTCTTTTTATTTTTTTGTGAGCATTTCTATTACTAATTTAAATTATTTTTTTCTTTTAAACACACATTGTAGGATCCATTATATGGCGCATGTTAGAACGAACTTTGTCGTCTGATGTATTTTCAATAGGTATCCACAGGTATTTGGACGATCAGTGAGTATAATATATTGTGATATAAATTATACATATTAATTGTACATATCATAAAAACAAGATAATAAAACATATAAGTTTGACAACATATTTCTAGTTTTATTAATTGAAGAACTTAGATATATAATGTATCTCAGATTTACATTATTATTCCTTATTTATGGATTTTTCAATGAATCTCAACTCGAATTTTTCTTAACATGATACAAATTGAAATTTCTTAACTAAATATTTAATTACAAACAATTCAAATTGAATAACTTTTCGAGAAAACTATAGAAATGTATATAATTAATATAAGGCTGTAATTTTCGTAATATAAAAACTGAAGTCATTATGTACTGTCATGACAAAACATTCACATTGTCAGTCATTATAAATACATAAATAGATATTTTGTTATATGTTATATTAAATTTATATACATGTATATATCTATAACTAAAGTTTAAAAATTTCTACGTCTGTGGAAATTACATTATAAATTAAAATACGTAAATAAATTACATATATTGTGAGATTTTCTTTTTTATAATGCCGATTAATTATATACAGTGTTTATACTGCCATAATGTTAAATCTTACAGATTCACTAAGCCTAAAGCAACTACTTCCGATCATTTATGGACCACTATGCAAACTGTCATGAATGCATTAAATCCCAAGTATCAGTTTGACATAAAAAGAATGGTAGATTCGTGGGCTATGCAGAGATGTTTTCCCGTGTTGGAGGTGATGCGAAATAATTCTCGCGATGTTGTAACAGCATCGATACAATTTCACGATGAGTTGGATGAGAAGCAATATTACATACCTTTGACTTATACTACGGAGTCGAATCTCAATTTTAACGTAACGTGGTCAGATGTTTGGTTAACACCATCATATTCCAAATTTGAATTCTCTCTTAAAAAAGATCAATGGATCATTTTCAACATACAGCAAACTGGTAAATATTGAGAATAAACTATCATAAACTTATATTTTTATTATCCTTATAGTGTATAATATTTGAATTTCTAAAATTAAATGTACTTTATGTGGATATAATTTGGACATTATATTTATGGTCAAAATCAATTCAAGCTTACACAAAATTTCTAGTATATTTTATTTTTTGTAAGTTACTCAATTATCAGTATACATATTATACGAGCGTAAGTATTATATTATACGTATTATACGAGTATAAATATTAGTGTGTGCATGCCACGAGTATATGGCATGTACGTGTCTTTATAATTAATAATAATAAAATCCAAAATATTAAAAATAATGATATAATATATATAAAAAAAATATTACAAGAAAACCATAAAAAAAATTTAATTTTATCAACTGTAAAATATATGAAATTTCTATCTTTTACTATAATAGACTCAATTTTTAATACAGATTTGACGTTAAATAACAGAAAAAAATGCAGAAATTTCGAAATATCTT